GCTCAGGAAAGTCTTATGGACCCATCTGTAGGCTGGGAAGGGTTTGCAGCTCTGGTACAGCAGAGTGTTTGTACCAGCTACAGCAGGGAAGTAGCCAAGCAAGAGGTCTCTTACTCACATAGATCTGTTGGTGTGCAGGGCAGTCAGCAGCTGTGCTGCCACTCCCAGCCTCCCCACAGAGCTCTGGAGTCCCCTCCAGGACAAGGCTGGAGGCAGATGACCAAACAGAGCTTGTAGGCTTTATCCTTCTTCAGGACAGGGCACTGCCAACAGAAATAAATCTTCTAACTCACCCCAAGTTGGGATAACCAAGGGATGTGTGAGAAGATGTGGCTCTGAAGAAGCAACCTTGCCAAAGCTGCTCCTAGGAGTAGGTCTGCAACATCAGGGAATGGCATCAGTGGCTTTACTAGACCTTAGTTTTCTTGCAAAACTAGTGGCCCCTGCCACAAGAACTGCTTTAGCAGAGCAGCCTGTCAATTCCAAAATGGAGCAAACCCTCCCTTTCAGCAATGCTCCAACAGCAAAGAGAGTTGAGAGCAGAAATATTTCATGTAAACCAAGGTGACAAAGAGCCTCAATTTACCAGCTGTTATGAATGAAGAGTGTGATACCTCCTAGCACTGCTTCTTATAACAATACACAGTAGAGATACCCTGGTTACAGATCTATCCTTGCTATCTTCAACCAATTCTTGCTCACACGACATTCTCACTGCCATTCACAGAGGTATTGCCAGGAAATGACTTGAATGAAAGATGAAATTTTTTATGGAGACAATTCATACAACACTTTCATCACCTTTAGTTTGTACAATCCCATCTGATCTTTGATGACAACTGGAACTGCTTAAGGGGCTTTACTAGCTCAGGTTAGTAGTCATCAAAGGAATACTAGGACTATAAAATCTACTCTGTATGTTAGTAATTACAAGTCTATAAAAATAATGTGGTGATTTCAATCTGTTTATGATGTCTTGGTCTTTTACAGTGAATGAAAAGTGGAAAGAAAAAAGTGGAAAGAAAAAAAAAACCCAGTGCTTAAATATTAGATAGTGTGATGATTTTGAGTACATGGGCTTTTAAGAGGAGTCTAAGACAAACACCCAGGACCTTCCACAGAAGAGGGATGAGCCAGCGATGAGGACACTGAGCACAGCCAGTCTTCTGGGCAGAACACTGTCAACAGTTAGCCAAGAGAAAAACTAGAAAGAGAAACACATGTTGGGACTCAGCAAAACTTCAGGATCTTACTGTTGTCTGCAGTGAAGGTGCCTTGTTTTCAAAGTATTCCCATGGTGTGGCATCTTTCTTATGAAATAATTATTCTATTGCATTAAAGCTCACCACTACTTCTCTTCAAACACAGATGTTAGAGAAAACATGGTGGTGACTTTTCCACATCATTCCTACTGGGCAGCATCTTCTCCCAGGACACCAAGTGTCAGAGTTCAGTGACTAGTTTGCAAGTGTTCAGTCTCAGATCTCCTTTCTACAAGTTCTTGAATCACCTGTCCACAAACAAATATTTTTCAAACAAAAAAAATTTATATCAAGAGACACTTTCCCCCAGTAATTACTAAAAGAATGTATATGTCTGGAGCTTTACATGTGACTAGTTTTTGGGAGTTACATCTTCAGTGATTTTCTGTGCAAGCTCAAATAAAAAATCCCGAGACCAACCAATATTGTATATATATCAGAGATGGGATTTCCCTAAAGAAAAGCAACAATGAAAATATAAAATTAGATGTTAAAAAACCAAAACAAAACACAAGGACAAATTTCCACAAATGACACTAAAAAGAAAAGGCAAGATTCACATTCTAAACATAGGCACAGAGTGTTGCTTCAAGACACTTCCTCTAGTCTTTGGTCAACTATTTTAGATGCCAGTGTCAGATGCTGGCAGATATGTTAGAAAGCCTCTGAGTTAGCTATACTCCCCTGTAGTGGAAGATACTCTGCATGCCTAAACTAGCTCTAAGCATTTCTGTATAGACAACTGAATACCACACCTTGATTGTTTTGCCTTTGATTCCAGGGCTGTATTTTTAAAAAAATATTAAATTAATACCTTTTCCTTTTCCCATCAATTTCCATTTGAGAAAAAAAAAATGTTTCTTCTTATTCAGTTGCATTGTTGCAGATGGTCCCACAAAAAAATGAACACATTCCTGTAAGATCATAAGTAGATGTTTGTATGGAGTCCACACAAGTATATATAAAAAAAAGGAAAGACTAATGTCAAATTTAAACTAGTGTTGAAAGTAAATGAAATCCATTTAAATTTGGAAGGAAAACCAGATAATTTCCATTTATGGAAACTGACATATGAATGATTAAAAAAAGAGAAAGGGCAGATTTGGGACAAAATAAAGCAAAGGAGAAAAATGCTGCAGTTTACAGACCTTTATCAATGTATGTTTAACCCTGGGGAAAATGGATTGAGAGTAGCCCTGGGGAGAAGGATCTGGGGGTGTTTGTGGATAAGAAGCTCAGTACAACTCAGCAGTGCACATTTACAGCTCATAAAGCACTTTGGGCAGCATCACAGGAGCTGTGACCAGCAGGTCAAGGGAGGTGATTCAGCCCCTCTACCCTGCTCTTATGAGACCCCACTTGGAGTACTGCATCCAGCTCTGGGGCCTCAAACACGAGGAAGATGTTGACCTGTTGGAATGAGTCCAGACAAGGCCACTAGGTCAGTCAGAGAATAATTTTAAACAAGGATTTTGAAGATGTATTTTCAAGATGACTTGTGCTCATGAAGAGTGTGGAAAAGGGAGAAAGTCACAAAATATTTGCCATTGGTCATGTCAGTCAAACTATATAATCAGCAACATGTCAACTCCATTTAAAGGGCCCTTTCATTGATAGAAACAGAGAATAGTTTGGGTTCAAAAGGACCTCCAAAGTTCAATTAACTGTAATGAGCAGGAGCATCTTCACCTTGATCAGGTTGCTCAGAGCCCCATTCAACCTGACCTTGAATGTTTCCAGGGATGGTGTGTTC